GGCCAAGAGTCGAATTATGTGAGAAATGTATTAAAATTTGTTGCGACAGCGAAATGCAAGCATGCCAATTGCAAGCAACACCAACACCAACAGCAGCAGCAGCAGCAGCAGCAACAACAACAGCAGCTATTGCCTCCGCTATCAGAGCCAGCCCTCTGCTTTATGCTTTAGCAGCCAGCGCCCACACCAATGCCAGCAATTGCAGCGGGGCCAAGCAAGCTGCAGCTGCAGCAACTGTTGTTGTTGTTGTTGCTGCTGTTGTTCTTGTTACTGCTGCTGCTGCTGCTGCGGCTGGCTGTGTGGCATCTTTTGCAGAAGTTTTCCCATGAACTGATGGCGCCCTCTTTGCTGAATGGGCGATTGGCCGTGTGACCGCCGCTGACATGTTGCTGATGCCTTCGGCAGCAACAGCAACAGCAACAGCAACAGCAGCAGCAGCAGCAGCAGCAGCTACTAATAAGAACAACAGTAGCCGCATTGTTGGCAGTTGTTAACGTTGTGTGCTGTCAATGATTTTGTGGTTCAAGCAATTCAATTGAAAATGCAATGCAATGCAATGCATTAGGCGATGATGACGTTGATGTGCATGAGGACGAGGACGAGCACGAATGACGATGACTATGACGGAGACGATGTTGCTGACTGAACAATGCGAGTCATGGGTGGGCCATGGATCGGACCAAAGCTATCCGCCGATCACGACCAGGCAGCCCTTCTCAATTGTTGTTACTGCTATTGCTATTGCCGTTGCTATTGCTTTGGCTTGGAGCTGTCGTTGCTGTTGCTGTTGATGCTGCTGTTGTCGTCGTGCATTGCAACGTGAGATGGCAGATAAATCAATGCCGGCCACAGCAGCAATATATGTGGCATTGTTGTTGCTCCACATTCAAAATCATTGAACTAATGAGCGGGCCTGTTAGCGGCAGCCGCAGCAGCCACAGCTGCAACATGTTGCTGCGATGAAGACACACGGCAGCAACAGCAACAACGATTGTGATAAGCACAGCCATAGAAAGTTTAATGACTTTAAGAAAGGCGCAGGGAGAGCGAGAGAGTCAGAGAGAGAGAGAGAGAGAGAGAGAGAGCGAGAGTGTGTCAGAGAGAGTGAGAGCGTGTCAGCTGAGCGATATAGACACAGACAGAGAGGAAGGGAGACCGCAATCGTATGCCAACTTTGTCTAATCGAAATCAAAAACAAAACCACATTTAAACTCGCAAAAACAAAACAAAACAAAAATGGAATCAACGGGCGAACATTGACCTCCATTGAACTGATCGTCAGCTCCGCCCCCGGGGCAGTAGGCGCTGTGGGTGTGACCTGGGCGAGGGGGGCCTGTGTGGGGGGCAGGCTGTATGTCATGCTGTCACATAGATTACAGCAACTGCGCAACCGAGCGTGCTTACACAGCTATAGCTACAGCTCTAGCCGCAGCCATAGCCACAGCTATAGATATAGCTATAGCTACAAAGCTATATAGCAGCACTTCTAGCTGAAGCCAAATAGCCGTGAATATAGGTAGACTAGATTAGTTAAAGTTAGAGCTGATTAGTTAAAGATTTAATAGCCAGCCTTAGATAGAAGGTTAGCTAAAGCTAGGCTGGTGAGCTTTAGGTATTTAGAATTATAGCCAAATATATTTTTAGCTAAATAGAAGCTATAACCGCTACAGCTACGAGCATCAATCTAGCTATATTTTTTGGCTAATCTGTAGCCAAAATAGCTGGAATGTCGGCTATTTAGTTAGCTATATAGCGGCTAGATATTTGATGGGCTACGGCTATATTGTTTTGCTTTAGCCTTATAAATATTTGACAATCTAGCCACTTTGAAGCTGCTGCTGTATAGATTTAGCTATATTGTAGACTGGCTAAAGCTAGTTAATGTTATAGGCACAGCTATATAGTCGCATTTAAAGCTATATTTTTTGTTGATAATGGTTAATGGTTACAGAATTCGACTGGCTCAATCTTTAACCCACTTTGAGCACCACCGGACAACTATTCGGCATTTGACTGTCCCTGACTTGAACTCAAGCTGCGCTGGGGTCGCGGGGTGTAGGGAGGGAGCTGAGCTAAGCGGACTTCTCCTTGTCATTGTCAGTTGCAATTAATTAAGCTTTAATCATGTCTTGGCCATGCAATCACTTTCGGATCTGTTGCAATCGACAGACGCTGAGTTCAAGCCTCAGGCATTCAGGTTTCTGCTGCAGCAGCAGCTGGTTCCATGAATAGCTTACAAATGACTCGCACCACTTAAACCACTCGCAGACGACATTCATATTTCAGTTGGCAATTATGATTGCATTGAAATCCGTTTCATTATTTTTGATTCTGCGCAATATGCGTGGAGCTACCAAGATCAAGTTATCGATTAACTTATCGATTGTTGCACATCATTCAAGGGCAAAAGAGAGACAGAGAGAGAAAGTGTGAGAGAGAGTGAGAGAGTGAGAGAGAGGGAGACAGTGAGAGAGTAAGAGAGCGCGAGAGTGAGGGAGAAAGAGAGAGATAGAGAGAGAGAAAAAAGACACATAAATAGGCACAGAGACATCCAGAGAGACGCAAAGGGATATAAGGAGACACTGATAGATAGCGACAGATTGTAAAGTCGGAGATAGAGAGAAAGAGAGAGGGAGACACACAGAGAAAGAGAGAGAGAATGGAGTGCTGTATCTTTATATTACCTTTGTGCGATTTACTTGACTTCTAGCAGAAGCATCTCTACTTCAACGATCCCAGCTGAGGTCTCGAAAAGCTTTAGCCAAGCTAAAGTATTCCCCTCGGATTCGTGGAGTGCCGCAACTTCTCTGGCTTGATATGGACTTGTTTTATGAACTGCAAGCCAGATTTCAACACACTTTGCCCAGATAACCCTTTGGCGCGGAGGCAGCTGAGAAAAGTTTTCATTGCTCATAAATTTTGACGCACTTTGCAATAATGATATTATAATCATTTATTTTTGCTGTCGCAGCTTTGTTGTTTTCGCTTCTTTTTATTGCCCGAAGAAAACAAGTCCGAAATTTGCGTTTAATTCAAAAGTATTTTATTTATTTTTGCATTAATTTTTTGTTGTATTTCTTTTTTTTTGTTTTCGTCTTTGCATAAGCGCAAATTATGAACAGCAATAAAAAAGTAACGCCGAAGAAGAAGAACAGCCACAACAACAGCAACAATCTGCAGAAATGCCAAAAAAATTAATATGAAGCCGACGAAACTGAAAGATGATTGCAAAAGTCTAAGAGGCAGAAGCTGCGACGTCAGCGTCAGCGGCAACGTTGGCGTTGACGTCGGCGTCGGCGTAGGCGTCGACTGCGGCGACATTGCTTGGCGCTAATTTGATTTTTGTTGCTTTATCGGCGCCGCGGCGACTGCAGCTGTTGCAGTTGTTGTTGTTGCTGCTGTCGTCTGGGGAGTTACATTTTTTGACATTTAAACGTGTTTTTGGCACTTGACGCCGCCCGTTATTGTTGTTGCCTTTTTCACTTTTTTTTTTGTTTTTGTTGCCTTTGCTTTACTGTTGCTGCTGTTTTTTGCCCTCTTCTTTTATTGTTCAATTTTTATTGTCTTTCTTGATTTGCGCTTTGCTGTTTTTATAGCGCTTGGCTGTTTTTTTTTTGGTACAAGTTTTCACCACTGTGGCCCACAGCGCCAACCCTTGCCTAGCGGGCCGAGAGCTTGGGCCTGAGCAACTTGAAAATCTGGTGTCCACTCATAGAAATTTCTCAGCCGCATGCAAATTTTACTTTTATGGCTTGGCATGCTTTTGGCTAGCCATTTGTGACTTACTTACGTTTGTTTTTTTTTTTTTTTTGTTTTTTGATTTGGCTACAGCACGATTAGAGACAACCATTTGATTGCAATTTGGCGCAGTGTACGCTACGCACTGTGGGCCTGGCCCTATGACATGATCCTTGGTAGCGGGCCGACAAATCGAATGTCAAGTTGAAATGGCGGAGACCTGTTTGATTTCAAATCAACGGCAGCCAAAATAAAGATTGAAATAGACACAAAGCATTGCGTGCACGGGGCGTGGCAGTCTTTTTTTGTTTTTATTTTTTTATTTTTTGGTTCTTTCGCTTTGGCTGGCATCGATTCGGGCGAACGCTCATCGAGGCGTAGAATTAAACTGTCAAATTCAACAAATAACTGGATTTGTTACATCGAATGCCGCTGCACGAGGAAATCGAAAGAAAATGAAAAAAAATATATTTCTATGCGCCCGCACATGGGTCAAAATTTGCCAGGAAATGGCAAATGGGAAACGAGCCACAGCTTAAAGCTATTTAGCTTGAGAGCAGCACGCTTCCATAATATTCCAGAGAAGCTCATCCACTGATAAACAGGGGCTATACACATATATATATGTACACTACATCCATGCTTATATACTTCTATATGTCGGCATATAAACAACTTTAATCATCCCTCGATTTGGTTGTTGTGTCAAATTTTATATAAGCTTTGGCTGGAATTGTACTCAAGGTCTTAAAAATGGAGTATATATATATAAATATATTTATATACATATATATAAATGTATATATGTATATCTGATAGGCTCAACACCCACAGCCACGTTTCCTCCCGGCAACAATCGTCGCAAATAGACTCTAAACATTTGCGCATTTACAAATTTGTTTGGGTTTTATGTTACAAGAAGCTTAGCATATATACGAAATTATATGAAAGCTCATTAAAAGTAATATTTAAAAGTTTCAAAGTCGTCTGAGCCAAGCTTTATCTCAGCATATTAAATGGACTTGACATATAAACGGCATAGCTAACGTCTATGAAAGCGCATTTAAGCTTAGCTTAAAGCTCTTTCGAAGCGCTTTCAGTAAGTGTTCCTGCCAAAAAGCACATGAAGTATCTAAGCTTTTGCTAACTTAAGCTTGCATTAAGCAGTTAAAGACCTTAAAACCTTTAATGTAGAAAATTAATTTAAAGTTCATTAATTTCATGTTTCATATGCTGACTCCACTTTTTGGTCCTTTTTGCAGCAGTCCCGCAGCTAAAGGCAGCTTGTGCGTGAGCGAGAGTGCGAGAGAGAGGGACACACATACGCACACGCATCCTGTGCAAGGATTGTCATCCACACTGCAGAGCAAAAAACTGTTGGTGTTGCAGTTGGTATTCCTGTTGTCATTTGACATTTATGTCGCCCGCCTTTGGGGTGAGTGCAGTAATATATGAATATACGGGATAAACATAAATATTGATGTATATTTTTTTGATTTTTCTTAATTTGTTGCTTTCGAGCTGATAAATATGTGAAGGGGTCGGTAGGAGGAGGCCTAGCGGGAGGGAGGGCAATGGTCGGGCTTCCCTTTTTGATTGAAATTTATTTTACTATAACGTTTTTGTTGTGCCTTTTCGTTTTTCGCGCTGCTGTTTTAGTTGATTAAACACAATTGTTTACTCGCTTTTTTCGCTGCTTTTTTTTGCTGAAAATGCATTTTCAGGCAGAGCTTTTCTTTATCACAATTGCCATAAATTACGCGACTGCGCCGAAATGTTCGCTCGCTGTGCATAAATATTGCCAATCGACAGCAGCAACAGTTGCTGTTGGGCACTGGCATAAAAATTACAAAATCCAAATTAATGAACTCTCGGCGCTATTAAATTGGTTCAATAACATTTCAATTGCGTTGACATAATTTTAATTAAAATAAAATCAACTACAACAATCCGAACTGAACAACAAATTATTGGAGACTCACAATGAATTTTAAGTGTCGCGCTTCGCTCCGAGTTGGAGCTCGAGCTCGAGTTCGAGTTCGCTGAGCTGTCGAAATCGAAGCGCTAACGGGGTTATCCAACCAGCGCTCGGCGCAATTTGCATTTAATTGCATTTACCAGGGCTGCATGCCTAATGCCTGCCCAGCCGAACAGCCGAACAGCCGCCCCCACAAACCCAACACCCTACTAATCGTATCCCCCACTTAATGCCAAACATGCCGCCAAGGTGGCCTCCAGTTGCCACTGTCTCACTGCGGCTGCCATTGCGAGAGCCGAATGCCGCGCACCCGGAAGCGATAGCCGCGCAGCCAGATAACTGACCATGTGTCCGACGTACAGTGAATACTCGGAATACAGAATGTGAAATACAGCAAGAATGAATAATAATAAAATAACACACAGCCACAGATCGTTGTTGACGCACTTGCCCCTGCTGCAGCTGCTGGCACTTGCCCCTGAGCGGATGGATGGCACTGCCAGTCAGCAAATCGCTCGGAATCAGCAGAAAACAAAGGCTTGCCCGACTGCGGGTTGCCCTGTGTCATGTCAGGTATATAGAACCATAGCTGTACCTCTTACGCTTGGAATAATTTGATGCAAAGCGCCTAAAGGTCTCGAGGTATAAAACTACTGTTATCGATTTCAGTCACATCTAGCACAATATCGATAACTTCAACTTCCAATTGGAACATATCTAACTATGTGGGTATATTCATTTTCCAACTGGAATAATACCTGCCAAGCAAACAGATCAAGGAGACTTTTCTGTATTTGCTCAGAGAAGTCACTTTGCCTGTCTGCTACAGGGTATCCCTGCGCCTATCAGCAGCTACATTTATATTTACAAGCATGTATGTGGCTCATGCATATGGGAATGCCCATACCATCTGCATATGTGAATAAGTCCAAGTGCGATAATGCAAGCGATACCCAATTCAATACACAGAGCTGCCAGATCTGTCACAGATCTATAATTAGCCAAATGAAATGGAATTGAAATAGAAATCATTAAGGTGACAGACATTCTGAAACGGTTATACAGTGCATTATTATAATGCAGTGAATGCATGAAGTGATGCTGCCACCTGATCAAAAACACACATGGCTGTATGGCAACGCTCCAGCTCGCGAGGCTGTCAGTCGATTAGTAAGATCTATTGGATATTTTGGGAATTTCTTTAAGGGTTTCATAACCAAAAGTGGAGGCATGTATGGCTCAGAAGAGAATAATAATATTATGTAAGCAATCGTGATGGAAATATTGTTGTAATCCGAAAGGATGCAACTGTTTAAAGTTTTGGTTCTATTTATTCTATACTTTTTATGGTAAACAAAACTTTTTATTCTCACAGATATTTTCCTTAAGGCTAGGTAAGTTAGGCGCAGGCGCAGCTTAAGTCTGTGACTTGGCATAAATCAAATAAGCTAAAGTATTGCAGCCAATGTTTCTAAATTTGCTGGCTGCAGTCAAAATCATTTGGAAATGCCTAATTACAGGGTATCTTTGGGCCTAGACTGGCTGGCACTCCAGCAAATTCTTTAAAGTCAGCGTAAATTGCAAAAGAATGAAAGTAAAAAAGAAATAAAAAAAAAAATAGTTTTCGCTGTTCGCTGGGTTTGTGGTGTGGGTCAAGTCGTTTAATGGAATAACAATAATAATTATTTATCAATTAAGCAGCTACATTTAATTCAATTTAATGCGAGTATATTGAAACTCTCGTTTTCTTTTTTGTATATTTGTTTTTGTCAACATTTCTTACTTAATTTATGCGGCAAGAGTTCAATTGCGTTCAAAATGACAATAATTTGCTGCGGTTGTCCGTTGGGTTATTGATACATTTGCCGTTGTTGTTGTACTGTGAATTGTCTCATGAATTTTGCATGCGACAATTTATTTATTGATTTACTTTACAGCGCTGGCAACAACAGCAAAGCTAACTAAACACAAATAGAACGACTGCCGGCCGCCGGCCTGCCTGCCGGCATGCCTTGCCAAAATCTGCCCCATATAGTCAACTAGCCTACACACACACGCACACACACACACACATTTGGATTGTTTGCACATTTCCATTTGCTTCACATGGCAAATGAAAACGTGTCAAAGGTGTTTGCAATTTTGCAGTCAATTGGCATTAATTGAGTGTGAACACAAAAATATTTTGTAAATCGTCATTTCACTGAGTGTGCGTGTGTGTGTGTGTGTGTGTGTGCGGCATGATGTGCTCGCAAAATGCGTCGCGCAATATGCAAATTGATTTACCGAACAATTCATTTGGTAAAATGTGTTGCATAAGCCGCTATGGAAATTCGAGGCCCAAATGCCAGCCGCATTGCCACATTTGTGTTGCAATTGCCAATTTGCACTAAAGCCAAAGTGCAACAGCACTTTGCTGCTTATTGACTTCGCTTGTTTCTAGGCAGCAAAACTAAATAAACAATATGAAAACCACTTTCCCATGGGCCGAATCAAAAAATGTGCAAATCCAATTGACTGTTGCACAGTTTGCCGTAAAAACTTTGCCAATAATTCCATTTTGGCCATCTGACTCCGCTTGCAGCAGACAATTAGATCACTGGTAGAGGCCTTCAAACTCGATTAGATGTCTTTGCCGAGGCAAACGAAATTTGTCTTTTGTCTACGACTCAGCCAGTTCAAACAGCATTTCCAAAATTGACCCAAAAAAAGTCGAATATTGCCTGTAAATATATTTTAAAAATATTTTGGATTCCTTTGAAATGTCTAAGCAGGGCATAAGCCAATTGGCAGAAGGACACATCTTCCAGCTCGCTTGGTCTATGCAGATGTTCATACTGTTCTGAAAAACTATTGCTTTGAACATGTCACATGAGATAGATGTATAGACATATATCTTCTATGACATGTAGTTTTTATTGTACTTAAAGCTTCTTTTAAACTTGGTTGCATCAAGTAAAGGGTTTTTCTTTAGTGCTCAACAACTTTGGCCGGGCTACACTGCTTTATTTGACACTACATTTAATAGTTATTAGTTGCTTTTTGTTGTGTTTAGCTTGACATTTGGTTATTAAGAGGCATATACTAGAGTAATGCTCTAAGTATATCAAAATAATGATGGAATGGGTACGAAAATAAGTATTGTAGCACTTTCAGTTAAGAAGTTCCGCAACACCATTACAACTGTTTGTTTAGTGTTTAGTGTTTATGGACTGGCGAAGTCATTGGTCCATATGTTTTCAAAAGCGATGAAACGATTATAGCAATTGCTGTTCCGGATTGCGCCTTGTACGCGCCAGTCATGGCGGCGATATTACCAAAGTCATATCTGAACATAAATGTCATAAGATTTCGTATTTATAATTTTCCATTTCATTGATTTTAAAAATATATTTTCTTATTTTATTATGATCCAAGCTTGTGTAACTCTGAAAAAATCAATTGATATCGATTCACACTCATTTGGGTATCTATGACCTGAACAATACTTCGCTTAACAACTGTTAAATGTGCTCATCATTCAGGCTTATAATTTATGCCTGAAGCTGAAGAGTCTATTTGAGTAAAAACTCACCTTAACTTGAGGTAGACTAAAGAAGTTCTTTTTAATTAACTTAACTTAAGTTAAGTCTATAATTTTGTAATTGAAATTTGAAACGGAAGGAAAACATTTTGTGTACAGCAACTTGTGGTTCAGGGTATCTGCTAGTCGCTCACTCCCTGCGCCCAAACGTATCAAGTGGCAACTGATCCACTCGAATCGCGATCGCCACTCATGCGTACTTATGCGTATGTGAAGCATCATCCAATCTGTTAATTGTAGTGCGAAACTTTCACATGGCTGGCAAATAGAAATCTGTCAGATACTTCTAGCCGCACGGTCCACGCGGGGGCGTGGCATACAATAAAAATATCAAAATCGACAACGACGAAAGAAAAATACGTTTTTCAATTTGCCAATGCTTCTGTTACTACATGCCGCCCACAGAAGCGATCATAAAATGCACGCACACTTACACTCACACATATACACACACGCATACACACACTCACTCTCTCACACCCACTCTCTCACACCCACTCACAATTCAAATATGGCACAAATGAAGGTTTGGCCTTGAAACCTGCGCTAAATGCGTGAAAAAAATCATAAAAAAACTAACAACAAATAAACAACAACAGCAAAAATACCAGCAGCTAGTGATAAACAATTGTTTTCTCTTTTTTTACATTTATTTAGTTTTTTCTTGTTTGGTTTTTTTTTATTTTTATTTTTATTTTGTTGATTGGCCCGTCACGAATTTGTGTGTTGGCTGTTTGCGTGCCTCGGCTGCCCTTTGCGTTGCGAAAATTGCATGAAAAAAAAGATAATAAAAGCTTAAAGAAACAATTGACAAAGCTGCAAAATTCAATTTCAAACAACAAACAACAAGCAACGTCGACGCGTATTGCATTTG